TAGGCTATACTCGCTACAGTATAGGTAATATTTGAATAATAAATAAATAATAAAAATGGTTTGATTAATGATTAGTTAGTCACATGAAATTAGTATTGAGAGGAATTGATTATTGGTATTTGATATATTATGTATTAGCATACTGTGGGGCATAAATTATATAAATAAAATATTACTAATTTCAGTCTTTTTAAAGTTTAACCGCAGGCTATTTTCGTTGTGGTACCTACGCGGTGTGACCGTGTAGGCACTTACGTTACAATACATATTATCGCACAGTGGAGTGCTCAGTTTTTTAACTATTCTCCGACCACATCATATAAATATAATGGTAAGTACATTTTTTTATGAAAAAAAAAAAAGGTAAATGGTGAAAGGATACGACACCCTCATCATCCACCGTGATCTTTCCCTTCTCCCCACATGGGTAATGGGCAGTGCTCGACTTGGAAAAATTAAAGTAGGGGTATTCTGTTAACTTTTAAAAAAAGAGCGTCCCCATCACTTGTTAAACGTTACTAAGTCGTTACTACGCCCCTACACCCTCTATTACTCCTCTCTAAACCATATAAAAAATATTTATAAATAATCAACCAATAAAAATTATTGTAAATATTATATTGTATATTTTTGTTATAACTTATAAATATAATAAATTTTTGGTATATTATATTATTTTATTATATCATTAATATATGATACCTAATTGATAACAAATATTAGTGAATAATGACAAAGTTAAATAATGTTATGAAACAAGATTAAGGATAATTAATTAAATAATACTAATAATAGATACATATTAATATATTAATAATTTATTATTAAATCTATGGTAAGAAAAATTATGATTTGATGACATGCATTTTGATAAAAATGCAGAATGATGCAGCGTCCCGTGCATTTCCTTTAAAAATAGAAGTAGGGGTACCCTAAAATAGTTTAAGGTACTCCGCCCCCCCAAGTCGAGCACTAGACTAATGGGTAGAACCACTCTAAGGCGTATCCGTTAACCAAAACGATATCACTGTGACACCACCCCCTTTGTTCCCTGATTACATCTATACGTATTGTCCGATAAAAGTAAAACTTTTTACGAATTCATATAATAGAAGAATATAATAAACAATAATAAAAATATTGTATTATTATAGTTATCTTTGTATTGGTTATTACTATCTTGGTTCTTGGTCAAGACAATAATCACACATTTTTGTATAGGTATTAGAAGAAAAGTCGCAAGTTTATTGTAAGTATTTGTAACTATGATAAGTAAATAAGTTACATATATTAATTAAATTACCTACGTACTCCCGTTGTTATATAAGACCGTTGAAAATTATTGTTCCGGGGGATAAGTCGGGCTGCCAGTCGCGCTTGCGGATAGGTGCAGGCGTATTGTTCCACCGCGGGGGGGTGTGTGATGTGTGGAGGGAATAAAAAACTCGAAACGAAACCAGCGAATGGAATCGTATAACGAATAATATAATGACCGCACGCGCGTTGTAACAAGATAGAAGATCTATCTATTATACGATACCATTATTATTATTATTATCATCGTTACCTATACACGCGCGTAGCTGATGACCATATGCCGTCTGCCGGCACGCGCTTCCGCGTCAATGAGTGTTTGGGGCTCGTGCCGTCAACTGCCGTGCCGTCTGCCTAAGTGCCCAATAATAATAATAATAATAGTAATAACGATACAGTGCCGTCGGTGTCCGTCTGCGATCGTATACGTCTTCGCCCGCGATTTTTTTTCCACACTTTTATTTTTGTTTATATACCTACCTGTGGATTTATCGTACATAATATATACACGTGTTCAACTGCAGTGATTGTATATTTACATGAATAATAAATAAATACCGCTGACTTGCATAATATAGTAACACACATACATACGAGTTAAACACCGCCCGCGACTTTGTCAACAGGTAAATACGACCTATTTATAGTGATATATTTTTGTTGCCTACACCTATTAATAATCCCCAATAATATTCGAAAATTTGTTGCTTCGATATAATATATAGTCAATTGAATTATTAATAAATACAAGTCTTAAGGCTCAGTCAAACACAAAGCTGTCTCGAGATGTCCGCGAGGACACTGTAAAATAATACAACCGCGCGGACTGTCCGCAGAGGACAGCGTACCCGTACACCATGACAGACCGATTTCTGTTTGACCGAGCCTTTATTGTTTCATTTTTTATGATTTATTTTTACGATATACTAATCTCAAATGTAAATCTGCATTACGCTGACTTTTTCTACAACCGTCAACTTTGAATTTAAATCGATCGGTTATTAACTAGATACCTACCTATTAAAACATTAAATTCAAAATATGTAGGTAATATATTATTTATAGCCATATTATAGGTATTGATTTATTTTTGTGATTTTATTGTGGGTTATGTTTGGTGACGATTGATGTGTGAAATGCAGACATTTAAAATTACATGTTCCAAACGTAAAAATGTCTATAGATTATGGGTAAGATGCAATAAAAATCGACTTATTTAAATTGATCATTTAATAACTTAGTTGATAACTTAGGCAGTTAGATATACCAATTTGCGTGTATTTTGTTTTGTATAGGATGATTCATCAAGCACACTCATCCCTATTTTTGATTTAATGATAAATTTATTCAAATTTTGATTTTTTGAATATTTTTTAAATATACTTAAAGACCATATTTTTGAGAACCCCACTTTTTGCTGTAAAATATTAAGTGGATAATTTTTTTGGAGCTACTCGATGTTCCATTAATTATTTTATACCATATTTTCAGGAAAGCGTTGCTAAAATTGTTTTAGGTATAATATGCTAGGTATATTTCTAAATAAATAATCAAAAAATATACCTACTACAGTAATATAGTATTATTACAAATTTCCACCATTTTTTTTTATTTGTAAGTAATAATACATAACTTTTTATTTTTTAATGTATGAGATTTTCGATAGTGTGCAGTTAGTATTAACTTTATTGAGTATTTTTATTTACAAATGTGCGAAAAACGCATATTTAATTTGAATATAACAATCAAACTTAATATAATATTACTTGAGTCTAAAAACTCTTTGAAGTAATTCTTACTAGGTATTTCATATAGGTATAAATAATGATTTATCTAATTTAATCAGTGATAACATAACAAATTAATAAAATGTTCAATTTAAAATGCATTTAAATGCATTTTCAGACTAGATTAAAATTATAAGGGTGGGGGGCACTTGCCCACCCTTTCCACAGTGTAGCGTCGCCCCTGGTTATTAACGTGTTTATACTATGGATAATAGTCCATAAAAATGATTTTACAGCAATATAAAATAGATGAATAATATAATTTATTAATTAGATCTTGTGTTTATAATACTTGAATACTTCAACCACTTGTACAAACTATACATTTTGATGGATTAATGTTAATTACTAGAATTTTTAAATCACCATAATCCCCAATTCTTTCATAGCCATTATCCTATTAGTATAAAGTTTTAATAACTTAAATAAATATATAGGTAAGTATATGTGCTATATAGTACCTATATAGTATGTACTTTTTAATTAGGTGAATATTTGAAAAGAACTCTTGAAATCCTACAAATGAATATATATAAAGGTACAACTAGTCAACACGCAAAAAAATTATATAATCTTAACGGCTAAACGATAAGTATATTAATACTGTGATAATTGATATAGAATACCATAAGTAGGTACCTATTGTATATTCTTATTTATTGATATTGTTACTTGTTAGTAAGCCATTAGTCAGTAAGCTATAAGCTGAATTATATACGGTTATTAAATTGGCTAACGATATTCTTCAATTTGTACCTACCATAAATTAATATGATATAAGGATAAGAGTAGCTGTGACAGTAGTGTGCTAAGCTGTCTATATAAACTAAGAGGGGTAGCCGGTAGATAATAGGTAGGTATATAATATTTTATATTTCTTATCTATATTTTTCAATAAGCCTACTCTATTACACATTGTTACACATTTACACATTATTCGAATGTACTAGAAACGCAGTGACTGATTCAAGGGTTCAAATAAAGTCGGCAGTTCCAAAAAATGCCCTCGTACAAGATGTATCAGTATAATATACTTACGAAATTATTGTTTTTATTAACCTAACCTAACCTAACCCAACAATGGAAAATGATATTAGTGATATTACAGTTTGCAATGACTGAATGACGTATTTATTTTTTGGTGCTAAACATTTGAAAAAATATAGGTACTACTTATATGATTTAGATAGGCCCAAATTAGGAGAGGTGCCTCGTCGGCAATTGCCGGCCGAACGACCGTTTAATTTCTTCCACTATCTAAGAGGAAGGAGTGTCATGCAAGTTTCAAGATAGGCCTTGCAAATTAATGTAAATTAAGTGCTATAGATATTGACAAAAACAATTTTTTTTTCTATCGAGCGAGAGGCCTGTTGCTGGTCATTTTTATGTGTAGTTTACTTGTTCATGATTTACTTGGTGGATAGATTGTCAAGTGAATTTCAAAACTACTCTAGAAAGCTTGAGGAGGGATAAATTAAATGTTTGCAAAAAAAAAATTATTCAAAATTCCAAGTTTTACTGCTAAAGTGACGGAAGTTCGTGTGACGTGTGCCTTTTACATAATTTGGTTTTCTTAGGGATAGGAACAATTTTTATGGTAAAATCATTTATCTAAGTCAAGTATTAATGGATTATTATAGTATTGGCATATTGCTCCCACGAAATGCTTCGTATCATGGAGGTTAACTACTCTCATTGACTGCTGCGTGTCTGTGACCCGTGCATACATAATAATATTATGTATAGGTATATTTTTTTAACTTTAATCAAATTAACATCCAGCAGCAACAGGACAGCACAATTTTTACGTAGCGCGCATTAAAAAATTAAATCTTAAATTACAATTTATATGTATATACAATAGTGACGAATGGTGGTCGTCGAATAGACCGGCTAACGATGGATATGGTTCAGTATCGTCATCACCAGCATGAGCAGCAGCACCAGCAGCACCACCTGCAGACATTCGACGGGCACCAGGGGCACCACCTCGCTGTGGGGTCGGCCGACTACGGATGCGTCGGGCTGGGAAATTCCGACGGAAAGCGCATCGAATCGCCGTCGCGGCACGGCGCGTACTGGCAGTGGCAACACTCGTCGGACGGTTCGTCGTCCGAGGGGTTCAATCACGGGCAACGAGCTTTCCTCGACGATTCCGCGGACCGCGGGTGCTGGGACGCGACTGCGAGCTGCGGTAGCCCGTCACCGGCATCGACGATCCATCGACTACCTGCACCGCTGGACGACGAATGCTCGTTCACCGGTCATCTGCAGTTGCTGCAGCCACTGACATCCCGGCACAGCGACCGATGGAATCGTTCCTATTTCAGGTACCTAAACAGTAAACCCCCATATAACTAGTAACTACATATCAAGTGACAAAAAAAAAAAATGTCCACCGGAATGCCAAATTGATTTTTATGAGAAAACGTGCGTTTCAAGTTTAAATTTTTACAACTTTGGATATTCACGCAAATTCTCACGTACCGATTTTCTTATTTTCTTATATAACTCAAAAAGGAATAACTGTAGAGTGTAGATACGCCTTGAAATTTGAACTTTACACCTTATGTTTATTTTATCAATTCCTATTCCAATATTAAGTACGTTATAACATAGACATATAATAGGTATATATACAATAATTTGAATAATTATATTATGTCTATGGATTATTGTGTAACCAAAAAATCTAAGAAATATGAAACACAGTTTTTTTATAGTTATTATATGTTAAAATAGACTGAACCAATTTTTGACAACATCTTTACTATAAGGCATACCGACATAGGTATCGGGGGAAGGTGTGAAATATGAATAAGTTCATGAATTGTACATAAACATAATAAATAGTTTAAAATTATTCTAAATATTTTGAAATTTTCATTGCACATAGAAAATAGTAATATGTATAGCCATGTAGCCAGGGCCGGAGCGAGGGGGGGTTTAAGGGGTCGTCACGACCCCTCACTCATTTAACCTAATATTTCAGTCGGCACATTAACACATTGTCAAATACAACAAAAATATGTATAAAATATAAAAATACAAAAAAAAAAAAAAAACCATAGTGGAAAATGAATTGATTATACTTGATTCTGAGAAAGACATTTTAGATAATATTGAAATGACAAATATGATAGTATGATACAAATATGGGCATCGTTAAAAGAAAGAAGAATTTCGGTGTAATATATAATTATTATATGTATAATAACGATGCCCATATTTGTCATTTCAATATTATCTAAAATGTCTCTCAGAATCAAGTATAATCAAATCATTTAATCCGGGAACTGGTCATAGTACCTAGTTCTTAAATGGTTTTTATATATACATTTTTTATAATTTTTGTATTTTTTTGGAATGCACATTCTGACAATGTTAAATAATATTTTGTAAAATGTAATATATTATAATACTTATTTATTATACAAAATAGTTATTGTTTTATGATGCTCATTTAAAATCAAAATAGATAGAGATACTAAAAAATCAGCTTCGATCAAAAACTTTAAGTAAAAAGGCAATATTGTTGGTAAATAGTGATTTAAATAATTGAAAAATGTCTCTAGGATTTTATTTATTCTTTATCATATGATACAAAAACATTATTCGTTTTATTGTTTTATATATAAACGGTTTGACGAATTCTTACTCTGGAACAATATCATAATTAATAGGTAGTGAATATTGAAAAATAATAAATATGTATAAAAACATGCATTTATCAAGATTTTATAATAAGTTTTTGCTCCAACATAGTATGGAATTGTCGAAACAAAAACTTGACATTTTGAGTGTCGCAAAAATTTTTTTTTGTGTTTTATAATTATGCATGAATTTCAGTCGTCACTTTCGTTAACCATGATAATACATGATGTAGCCATGTAGGTATATGTAATGATGCCATGATGGTGAAAGTTCCAAGTCCTTACAATGAATATTATTTTGAATTCCAAATTATAACATAAAAACTAAAATGGTTTAAAGAAAAATTGGTATTTTTGGTATCAAATTTATCAGAATTTGAATTTCAAAGGGAATTAAAAAATTATGCATAAATATTTTTCAATTGCTATAAGAGCAATTTAGGGGGAAAAATTTATATTACATTTTGATGCTTTTTAATCTTAGAAACTTTTTTCTATCAACAATTATTGAAAAAAAAATGTAAAAAGTTAATATTTTGAAAATTTAAATGTGTATAGCCAATGATAGTTTAGTTTAAGTAATAGTGGAATATTTTAAGCTTCTGATTATTATTTTTGAATAGGTACCTACAACAAAGCAACAAAATCTAGTCTAGCGTAAATATTCCGTTCTCCTAATTATTTCGATTAGTACCTACCTACGTCCTAAATGATATTTTTACTTCACTAAAATGAAAAATAGTATCCAAATTTGCTGCCAGACACCACCCTTAAAATAGTTACTCTTCCAAAAAATTAAGTTTTTTCTTTCCAATAAATCACAAAATTCTGCAGAAATCAGAATCTTCGAGATTATTTTTCTATTGCAAAACATTTGATGCTCATAAAGTCATAACTATGCATTCTACAATATGTTTCCTAATAACTTAACAACCTTAACCTCTTACCATAGTACCAAGCGTACTATACAACGCTAATTACAATGGGCTCATTAATCGTGTGACAGAAAAGAGGATAATATTTATGAATTAATTACAACACTTACCTATTACTCATAGAAATTAATGTTGGACATTTTAAATTCTGAACAAGCCAACAAGGCTATTTTTTTAAAAGTTTAATTAAAATGTCTTTAGTTTTTATGTCGTGTACATAATTAAAACTAATTAGGTATATAAATATATAATAATTTATGACCATATTATATATTCCTACATAGGCACTACACAACAAACAAACATAAAATATTAGTTTTGTCTATACTTATTCACTGTACCTTTTTTTTTTTTAATAATAGACAATCATCAAATGACTATATATCAACAAAGCCTAACAGCAAAGAGTCCATATCGCCTACAGTGGCAAGAAAGAGACGTTTAGCAGCTAATGCGAGGGAACGTCGACGCATGAATGGCTTGAATGAAGCATTTGATAGACTCCGTGAAGCTATACCAACGTCCATAGAAGACGAACACAAATTATCAAAATATGAAACATTACAAATGGCTCAAAGTTATATATCAGCATTATGCAACTTACTGGATCAAGCTCATAAATAAAATATAATTTATTACTTAATTGTCAATTTTTTTTACACATAAAATGTTTTCTAGTCACAAAAACAAATATTTCTTTATTTTGTCTATATAATAAAAATAATAACGAAAAAGCAATTAAATACAATTAACTTTTATTTTTTTCATTACTGCACACCTAAATAAAAAATAATATGTGGTACAAGACAAAAAAAAAGTGTTACTTCAGTAAAATTATCAACATAAAAACTGAAATTTTGTTTATACAAAATTATTTGATTGGAAGTTTAGCCATGTTACATTAAATTGTATACCTTACTGGTAGAGAGAACAGTAAAAAAAGAATGAATTTAAAAATTAAAATATATATTTTTTTTTAATATATATAAATATATATATTATAAACATTAATCAATATATTGTGCCAGCCATCTGAACCCTTCTCCATAACCATGACGTTTCAATACAGAACACATGAAAACTTCTAAAGGACGACCTGGAAGATCTGTTCTGGGTACTCTAGCCTAAAATTAAATAATCAATATTAGTTAATATGAAATTAAACAATTTTTTACTAAATAGTATTAAACAGTGATCGGTAAAGTAACAAAGTAACACAACCTGCTATTAATGTATAGCCTTTGCATACGTACTGCATTAATTATTTCATAATAAATAAACAACCTAAAATAGATTTAATTTTAGATATTGAGTGAAACGTCTTTCACTATATTATTCTACTACTCATACAAGTTAATTTTCTAACTTCCTAAATAATTGTTCCTAGAAAAAAAAACTTTTAAACCATTTAGTTTTTGATGTTATATCTAAATTGTAACTTTTCATGTCATTGTGTATTTAGTTCTTAGGAGTACAAAAACACTATTTAGTATTTTATGAGTACACATGTAACCACGAAAAAAAATCATATTTTTGGGTTAATAATTATATTATGTAATTTATATTAAAAATCTATTAGTTGAATTCTCATTAATCTTATTATCATAACAAAGATGTCAGCACACTCTTGATTTTTTCTATAAGTTTGCATTCATTGGATTTTTACAATATTTCAATTTTTATGCAACTTTGATTACATCAAATATAACAAATTAAAAATGCTCATATATCACAGAAAAATATTAATATGGTAAAAAACCAACTTATAAGCACAGATAATGTTCTTAACTTTAAGATTGATAATAGATCAATTTACTCCTATATTAAAGGTAATAGGTATCAAACTATCAACACAATATTGGTTCTGCTGAATACAAATTTGGTATATTGTGCGTGGCCGGACAGAGAAAATGAATAATGCATTGACATACTATTAATTGTCAGCGATAAGTTTACATCTACGGTTCTTTATAATTTGCAAGGGTAATTAAAATTATATAGGTACCAAAATATAGATTTTGAGAAGTAAATAAAAGTAGTATAGCTTATGAATGATTTACACATTAAACATATTCTTATATACAAATAACATGATACAATTACTGACAGTTAGGTTTTTGAAAACAATTCATATCCATAAATACAATAATAAAAGGTTACAAAAATATTAACACGTTCACGCCTAAAATAGTTTAAGTGACAAGGGTGTCTTTTGCTTGACCGTTGTCACATAATATATAAGACATGTCCAATATCTATTTCAAATGGGATTTATAGACTTGTTTATTTTAAGTGATTTCTGAGACATTGATTTTAATAGTTGGTTCAAATATTGGCCATCAGATACTGTTAGTATTGGTACTCTTTATTATTATAATATTTTCAGTGGTCTACTGTAAGCCACTCCAATATACCACAGGGCCGTGAACGTATTAATAGGTTTGATATATATATATAATATCATGGTTTACATACTTTTCCAGTTGTTTGGTTCAATGCAAAATAAGTTCTTAATTCTTGTTCATTCAATGCACCTTGTCTATCAATTTTGTTACCAAGGACAAGTACGGGGCAGTTAGATAAAGATTCATCAAGCAATAACGAATCTAATTCATTTTTACTTTCCATAATTCTAGATTTGTCACAAGCATCTACCAAAAATACAATTGCATCTACAGCAGGGAAATAATCTTTCCATACTTTTCTTGCTTGAGAATGGCCACCCAAATCAAATGTTGTGAATTTTATGTTTCCAACGGATAATTCTTCAGATGCTATAAAATAAATAATCAACATATAAATTGCCAAAGTACAAAAATATAAACTATAAAATATATATTTACAACAGCTTCATACTTGGATGCAATGTTGGAGTGTGTTGGGCCAAACGATCATCTTTCAACATATGTAATAGAGTAGTTTTTCCAGCATTATCTAAACCAAGGAATAGTAACTTTCCTGATTTTTTCCACAAGCCTATAAAATCATAACATTATAATTGATTCAATCTTCAAATGTAAAAATAATATGAACACACATAATTTAAGTGATTTATTTTGTAATCATATTATTCAGTGATAATAGAAAAATAATAAAATTAGATTGTATACTATTCTATTATTAATATATAATATAATAAATGAATGAACTATTGAAATCATATAGGTACACATGGATAAATTAAATACCTATATTTGAGTAAATTTAAAATATCAATACATTTTCATTACCTAACAATAATCACATAATAAACAATAAATAATAGATAATGAAATATTACTCACCTAAATATCCCAGGACGCCGGTAACCCAATCCCAAAGAAACATTTTCTAATGAAATTATCTGTAACATAAAATAGATAATCATGTTAGGTATGTAAATATTTTTTAATGTTTTATCTAAGATAAGTAAGATGAGTAATTAATAATAATATGTTATAACTTATAACTTATATTAATACACAGATTTAAAAATATATACCTATGTGAACTCCTAATCAATTAATATTAAGTGTTACTTTATAGACTAATTACATAAAATACATAGGTAATGTCTTTTTTAACAAAAATAAAAATAATAGGTATAATGTGTCTATACAAATATAAATGTATAAAATCAGATATAGATAACTACTTTAAACAAGGTATGTTAAAATAACTAATTTTAAATGTGCAAACATATAATAGGTACTGTAGGTACATAAGATTTAATGTTATAAAAAAAATGTATTATATTTTAAACTGATGTTTAATCTACAGTTAGATACGTTTAATTATGTTTGGTATTTTATTTGAATTATCAATTACATATCAAAGATAGGTAATAATGATGTATAATGTATTATATAATACAATGAAAACACGTATATATTTAAAACAAAATGTATGAATTAAGTTTTCAATACATAATTTTAACAAATAAATTGGTAGACACATCAATGAAAAATAACCAGCATAAATTGTTAACTATTTTTAAAAAACCTTCATGGCCAGTTTTGATGGTAGTAATATTTAGTAACCTGTTGAAGTCAATAAAAACAAAATAAAAAATAAATCTTGTTTATATCATACACAAAATAATAAAGTGTTCATCAAGGACAAGTATACTATTATAGTCATAGGTAGGTTAGCGTAGAAACTGGTAATATACAATTTAGCACTATGCCAGAGGTAGATTTATTGTAAGATATAAATGACATATTACTTATTAGTATAACTACCTCATAAGATGCATCAAATAAAATAATCATGGATAATTGGAAAAAATAAAATAAAATGTATGTATCTTAAATTCAAAGTTTGTATTTATAATATTAAAATTCCAAAAAGTAATTAAAAGATAGTAAAAGACTGCAAACATTTTGCTGTTTTTGTTAGATATGAGCAAGCTAAACACTATTATTAGCTCCTAGAAATAAAGAAAAATGGGAGTAAGTTCAATGGCAATTTCTATAAATAACTATAACAAAAAGATATAAGCATATTTAACTATTTAAGCACCTACAACTTACAAGTCTACAACTACACTTTTATCAATGATTATTAAATATTAGATACCTATGCAAATAAAATTTTAACCGTCACTGATGACAACAAAGCACTTTTAATTGATGAGTGGTTCATAAAAATCCGAGTTCTATATTAGGTATATTGTACCTTGCGGCTTGCATTAATTGACTAGTGTATCACCTACTTAACTAAGACAATGCCTACTTATAAATTCAAATTAAATTTTACATTTAGGTAGCTAACTGTTATATTTTGATAATTTCAGAATATAAAAACCTCGATAAAAACATATTAATACTAGTACTAAAATAATTTTTCAGAATTATTCTGATAGCAATTTTTAAAACTTAAATTAATTTTAAATGAAATTACTACCTTCATATGCTTTATATAAAGTTTACTGTAAAGATATTAGATAGTAGATACTATAAATTATTGGTATAATTAGTTTTCTTGATTTTATTGTATTGTATTATTTGAATTATATTTAGTTATATTTGGAAATTTTTCTGATTATTCTGTAGACATAATACACGTTTAAGTATTTAAAATATTATAAAAATGTAATGCTTAAATTTAAAGTTTATCATAATAAGTAATTATGCTATTCTGTATTGATTTTAAAATTGCATATACAAAAGAGCCAAAAATATTCCTATAGTAGCATTTAAAATTAAAATTTTTTACCATTAAATTTATTGGTACCACAAGCTAGGTATTAACATATTTATTCATTATTTTATAATAGACATAGGTATTTTTTAATTACCTAATATAATAATATTAAGTTTTAAAAATTTTAATTTTAATATAAAAACCCTTAACTTATTAATAATGTACCAATGTTTAAATGTATTGATTTTAACAGCCATATTAGATTTCATTCTGCAAGATCATACATTATGACACAGATAATATGATAAATATATTTTTATAATTTATTTTAATGGTTAAAATGTGTAGTATTGAGTACCTATTAAGATTTGATATTTGAATGTAAGGTGAATATGATGATTACCTATATCATATTATTTACAAGGAAAATAGTTTCTAAATTTATTTAATGAATTTTGAAAATCTTAAAGGTACTTTTTTTAAGCACAACAATTTTTTATTTAGATTTTCGATTTAAAAAAAACCATGATTATTATTTGCCATTGTTTTACAATTGATACCAATAATAATAGAAAACTCCAGAGGTAGTAGGGTACACCAAACAAAGATTTTATATAGGTATATTAATCTATTGTTAAATTATAGCCCCTGTGAGATGTCCATAATTTTTCTTAAAAATACTTTAATTTGATGGACCTACCTAGTTTTAGTAAATTAATTTTTTTTTGAGAAATGTTAGATACCTAGGTACTTGAAAATTATTTGAGCAAGAACTATAAAATGCAAGTTCCAATAATGTAATGACGTCATTAAAAAATGTTATTGACTTTTGCGCAATAACACATTACAAAGACAGTTAAATTGAAACGTAATATTAATGAAATGTATGTGTGCCATTTCGTCTAATTTAATGCAGACAATAGGCCCTAAACAATAGGTACGTTTGGATCGATTCAAACTAAAAACTACTCGTAAAATAACCAATCAAACGATGAGAAAACTTGGTTTCACTTTGAATACAATAAATAGGGTTTACATACCTTAAATTTTAGTTTAATGTACGGTGAATCAGTGTCACAACTTTGTGTTGTTCATTGGTATTTTTGATGTCGTAACAATTGTTATTGGCCGCGATTCGATTCTCACTGAGCGTCTGTTTTTTGCAATTGCAAAAAGTGTAGTAACCAGTCACTAATTTAGTGACAGAAAAATAGGCAACAGATATTTTATATTATGTACACAATATACCTAAACTAAATTAATGATAAATAAAATCTATAGTCTTGGTCTATGAGCAAAATAAAAATATAAACGATGACTTGACGTGCAAAATAAAGTGATTAAAACATTGATAGGGTGTGGAAGTAGGAGAAGGGGTTCCAATGTGTCACAGAGCCATCGGTGACTGGCAACGATTATTGAAATAACGAACCTCTTTGGAATAACCATTTGGACTGAGGCGGTCTACTGTCGCTTAGGCCTACTGCTCCATCGGGTATTATACCGAGTTGGCAAGATTAATTATTACAATACTGTAAATTGTTTGTACATTTTAACATTTTAAAGTACTCATGACTTGCTTTATTAAAATATAATAAAAAGCCTAGGTCATTGCCTAGATAATATTCTTACTTCCAAATTTGATGATAGGTCAATCCACATCCACTCATTCCACTCTAATTTTTAAGCCAACGTAAAAGTAAACGTGATCTGCTGAGCGTAAAATTTGCCATGTTACGGACTTATAAGACGGAGCTACCACACAAGCGGGTGCTGCATCTTCTTAAGAGGACGCTGCACAGAAGTTTGTCGTCTCAGTCTTACAAGTGCGTAACATTTTACGCTCAGCAGATCACGTTTAGCTTCGGTAGTTTAAAAACGAGTGAATTGACCTCTTATACAATTTAAGGATGAGATCTAGGGCGACTCACAGGCTTTTTATTATATTTTAATATTAAAACGGCCATCGGGTATTATGAGTATTTTAAAATTGTAAATTGTTTGTATATCTTAAAATAGAATCACTGAAGAAAAGCCCAGAAATATAAAATATATGAACACAATATTATGTATACGTCTTGATATATTATGTATTTGTGTTATAAATTATAAGTCAAAAAATTTCAGTCTTAGCCCTTAGGTATGTAGAATGTAGATACTAAAATAGTAAAATGTATACAACAATTACACAGCTATATGGTGGTAGTATAATTATAGAATTGCGGAAAAAATGCCCACGGAAAAAAAAACCCACAGAAAAAAATCCCACGGAAAAAAAAACCCATAGAAAAGAAATTACCAAGGAAAAATAGCCCACGGAAAAAAACCCACAGAAAAAAAGCCCTCCGAAAAAATTAAAATTAAAAATAAATGTTAATACATCTATATTTAATATAATTATTAGATAATATTTTTTTATTTTTAATCTAGTTTATACAATCTGTAAAAAAAAAAAAGTACAATAAGCAAAAATTCCCATTATATTTCTAATCTTTTTTTCAATAATTCTCCATTTCATCGAACACTGGTCAAATTTCATAACAATTAACAATACAAATAAATTCTTTTTATTTTCGTTATGAATTATTAGTTAATGAAATCTAGATACAATAATGTGTTTTCGGAAAAAAAAAAAATTTGCACGACCGCAAGAGTCTTGCAGTGATGGTCTTGTCTTGTTCTTGCAAGCCTAATCTTGGTCTTGGTCTTGCAGCCAAGAGTCTTGCGAGACCGCAAGACTATAAGACCAATTTTGATCGTCACTAATGTATACTTTAGAAGATCATAGTTAATAACCTAGCTAACCAAAATTGATCATTTGACTGTCAAAATGTTTAGAAAAAAAGCTTTAGCGGAATCCATAAAAAACATAGTGGTTACCATTCGAAAAAATAAAGTCGATTTTATTATTTTTACAACTGCGTGTTTAAAAATGTTGAATATGTCATAAAATAAATTGCCTGTTAAAAATAAAGAAACGTTTGTCTTTTTTTGTTTTAACGAAATTCCATATCATCGATCCTTTATAGTAAAAAATTATACAATAATATAAAGTCGTTAATATGTAATGATACAATTATTTTGAAGTTTAAGTTGAAAGGGGGCCCACTAAGTGTATGGTGTCCCGGGGCCCAATTGATCCTTAATCCGGGCTTGATTGTGATGATATCAATATATCATCACTTAAGACATTTGTTAATTAT